CCCTCCCGCGGCCGGCGAGCGGCGGAGAAACCGCAGGTCAGCTCAGCGTGTAACTGGGCTGCAGCGGTGGCACCGCTTACGGGCTGGGCCTGTGTTACTGCGGGGAGGCTTCATTGTTTGTTTTGTGCTGCTGGAAGCGGTGGTGGCGCCTGCTCAGCCTGTGGCACTCTGCTTCTCCTCGGAGAATGCTAATGGACGTTTGCAGCCAGACTACAACTCCTAGGAACTGCACCGTGGTTCAGCCTTGCAAAACTGGTAACTGCGGAGGGGAAAACACACACGCAAAAAAAAAAAAAACAAAAACCAAAGCCGAAGCGTTAAGCTATGGGAAAAGGTAGTTTTCAGTAAGGATATAAAAGAAAGAAGGGAAGGACAACTAGAGGAAGGCTATTGTTGCGCAAAGAGCTTTATTCTGTGGTGTGGGTTGGTGTTTTTCTTAAGGGCAGCCACATTTGATAATGAAAGCAATTAGTAAATAGCAGGAAGTGACAGGAAATGAGTATGTAGTAGCGTATAGCTATGTTTGAGTTGTTGCTCTTGCTACCTGTTGACCCTGTTGGTAAGATTGCAGACTAACAAATTTGTTTGCAACTGCACACCTCTTGTAGAGTAGAGTTCAGGAATCATTAAGTTTAGCTACTATAGTCATCGCGCTCATAAAAAAAATACAATAAGAATTTGTTTAAATCAATTATATTTGATTAATTGGGTTTTTTTTTTCCCCCTAAATGTCTAGATTTAGGTCTATTTTAGGATAAGACAAAAGTTTTATTTTTCACAGGTAGCCAGATGAGCAACTAGAGAGAAATTTAAATTCCAAGGATTAGGGCCAGTGTCTTGTCCAAAGGAATCCTAGTCAAGATTTGGAGTCGCTATGAATTACCATGATACAAATAGTGATTCTCTTTTTCGAGGTTCAAATCCTGCCTGGAAACAGGAGATGTCCTCTGGCCTGCTGAAGCTGCTGTGCAGTGAGGGTGGATAGTCACTGCTGATTTGCGTGGCCACATTCCACACACAGCGCACACGTGTCTTCCCCAACTCATTTGCCGTGAAAAAGAACGCCAGTGGCTTTGCTACAAACAAGTTTCTTTTTATCTTGTGTGGTTGGGTTGCATCAAAATGAGAGAGTGCATGGGAGGGTGAATATGTACTGTGTTTAAAAATTTATATTGATGCATACAAATTATATCAGAGGTGTTAACTGCATTGTAGTCTGAATGCCAAATGTATTCCAAGCTCCTGGAGAGGCCTGAGAGGCTTTGTTTGTACTGGCTAGAGAATTCATGACCCATGAATTGAGTTAAAGACTGCTCTTCAAATTCTCCGTAAATAGGGATCTGCTTAAATCAATTTCCATAACAGTGTTAGCCAGCTAGCATGGAAGGTCATCTTTCGTCTGTGATGTTTTTGTAGTCCACTAAGAACATGAGACCAGAATTGGAAGGAGAAATGAGGAGCAAGAAAAACAGATCCTTAAGAACAATGCAGTATGATCCCTATCTACATAATATTAAAAAGAGCTCAAACTGCTAAACCAGAGTAAATAAATTAACTACCTGTGATAACACACCAGTCAGCAGAAGAACTTGACTTGATACCTCAAATACATATATACATCATATGGAAGTCAAAGTGAAAGCTCTAGTTGATAAACAGTTAGGAATTTGCATTACGAATGTGTGTAGGAAACTTGTACATGTCAAAATGCTGATGCTTTTGATACCACATGAATTGCAGAAAACACCACTTAAAACAGTTGTGCTCTGTGCAGACACAAAGCTCAGTTATAGAAGCTCCTTTGTCAGTAAGCAAGTCTCAACCTTTCTGTGATGATAGGGTCCCTGAAAGACCCTTCTACCTAGAAAAAGTAAACTAAATGCTTTGATACTACATGTGCTCCGCAGAGCAAAGGGAGCAGCTAATGAAATTACCACATTAAAATGCTTTTCAGAGGTTAGACCTTGCAGGAAGTTCTCTGTGCACAAGAGCTTTTCAGAGACAACATTCCAAACACTGCTGCGGTGTTGCTTAGTTTTTCCCCACCTTAATGCATGAGCGCAGGATATTCCTGCTATGTTTGTAAATCTTTTGAGGTGAATGGTGGAATTTCTGGTGTTTGAAATATCCTTACTTGTACTACTTACCTGGGAGAGTGGGAAAATGTCAGATGAGGAAAATGTGAGGATTTTGTTAAGCTAGGCTTAAAAGATCCTAGGCTATGATTTGTCAAGGTGCCTAATAAAGTTAGAAAATTGTCTTTGAGCCCCTGTAGCTCAGGAAAGGCACACTAACCTTTTATGCTTGCAGAAATCTCTCCTTTAGCAAATGGCCAGGCTAAGAAATGGATTTAGTTGATTCTTTCAGTACCTCAGAAAGTTTCCTGAAACAAATATCAAGCCTTAAGCCTTATATTAATAAGGTCTGTAACCCTAAGAAACCTCTGTCGTTGCTGTCTGATTGCTGAGGAATGTTCAAGGAGTTTTATGTAGATTTCCTTTTCAGTAGAAAAAGTGCAAGGTTTCTTAAAAGAAAATAAACACTTAAACTGAAAAATCTCAGGCTTGAAACTTAATCTATGAAGAATGAATATGAAAAACTTCAATGTAAAGGCCAGTGTTTTGGAAATGCTAATGTGTACAAGAATTTTCCAAGTTTAGCAATAGGTAATTTCTGCTAACAACTACTGCAATTAGAAGACTGGTATTTTAGCTATGCAGTTGGTTCTTTTTCTCAACTAAGTTGCTGTCTTTCTCCATCCTGTTGAAAATTTTACAGTTTCATTCCATGCAGTGATGTTTGTGTTCATTTATAGACATGAAGAAAACTCAAGCTTTTGTTTTTTTAATTTTCCACGAGTAATTTTCTCTGCTCTGTCAGTTTGAGCTGTTTCTTCTCTGCTGATTTAATTCATCAAAATCCTGCAGCCCACAGTAGTCCTTTGGCATTCTTTTTTGTGCTGCATTTGTATTTCTCAAATATCTTGAAGTATATCTGATTGGTTGGAGGGCACATTAAAAAAAAAAAGGTAGTATTTGAAAATGAAAATGTTAGTGTAATATTCTTTTTTTTTTCTCTCTGCTAGTTATAGAAGGACATGCAGTGCTCAGTTTCCGTATGTTCAACAGTCCTCCTTTTGCACTTAGTATATTGATACTCTCCTCACAACACAAAGTTTACTTTCATTTCCTTGCTCTGATATATGATCTCAACATCAATTAAAAAGGAGGAAAAGGAAAGGGGCAGACTTTAGGGTATTCTTAGGATATAGAAATTTTCCCTAGTCCTAAAAGACAACAAAATATCTGGATGTTTCTGAGGGAAAGGTTGTATTCAGCTGCTTTAGACTAAAAAAAAAATTACATATATACACACATATATCTCATGTAGATAGCTGTTCTCTGTATAGCAAACAGATGATGTGAAAATACTGCATTTCTAATCTTTAGAAATGAGTTGCACAATTGAAAAAGCCTTAGCAGATGCAAAAGCACTGGTGGAACGGCTAAGGGAACATGACAACGCAGCAGAAGCCCTTATTGAACAGACTACAGCTCTTAACAAGCGGGTTGAAGCAATGAAACAGGTTTGTTTTTCAACTTTGTTTACTCTATTAAAAGAACAACTTGGAAACACATAATTTAAAATAATTTTTGTGTGTTAGTATACAACGTAGAATCAGTATGTTATTTGGTTAATCCTTTAATACCATACTAAGTATTTTTATTACAGGTGTGACTATGAACTAAAAATAGGTTGTTTATATATTTAGCTTGATCCTGTGAAGAAGTTTTCTCTGTTACTCTAGCTTAAATATTGAAAACTAGCATTTATTTGAAGAACGCTGGTAGAAATGGGGTTGATATTGTACAAACCATTGTGTGGTGTCTTCTCTTTTGCTCTTCTGTGAAATACTACTTGTTTTATTAATTTCAAGATGCACATTTAATCATACAGAGGCCCTGGCATGCTTTCTTCCATTCAGAATACTTTATCTTTTCACAGTCTCCTTTTGTTTCAAAGTAGCCTCTTAAGCTCATTTGTGATCATTTCCATTCTGATGTTAAACTGTCCAAGGCATGTTGTTAGATTGAGCGTGACTTTCACTAGAGCACTTCTGGAAAAACATAAAGGTGTTCGCTAACTTTCCATGTGGGAGTTCATCCTGTCATTTTAATAGAACACAGGACGCGTTAATGGGCCTGTAAAATAATAAAACCCTGCATGTGCTTCTTCCCTGTAAAACTAGTCATGCAGAGGCTCCGTGACTTCAGATGAAGAGCATTATATTTACTCAGTTGTTGGGAGTCAGGAGCCATTCATTCAGATCCGTGTGACTCGTACCCATACAACCTTGTGGGTTAAGGTATTGGGAAGCCACAGTAAATATTTAGAGGTTAATACCCTATGTTTTTTCTTTATCATATGTATATCAATTTTAAATTACTTGATGGTGGATTTGACCTGCATTAATTGAAGGTTAAATCATGCCCACTACACACATCTGAGGTACGAAACTTGTTTAAAAACAAAGGGGATACTTTTGTTTCTCTGAAGGGCAGTATGTTAACAAGACCTTCAGAAGTGTTTTTGTTTGTATTATATATTTATTTAAAAACAAGCATTATCTTGCTGGTTACAGACATTGACATTAGAACTGGTCCTCAGTGACTGTCGAGTAATGCTTGCCTTTAGTTACTCAGATACGTTGTTTTATTTTTAATAACTAGTACCAAGAAGAAATTCAAGAGCTCAATGAAGTAGCAAGACATCGTCCTCGATCTACGTTAGTGATGGGTATCCAACAAGAAAACAGACAGATTAGGGAATTGCAACAGGAGAATAAGGGTAAGACTTGACTATTGTGCCCTTTCCAAGTCCAAGCCTGCACCACTGGAATCAGTGAGACTGTTACCATTGATCTATTCTCAAAAAATTATTGTAGAAGATTTTTTTCTTCTTCTAATCTTAATTTGTCAGCTTAATTGAACATAATGTAATCTAAGAGAGTCCTAATGTCCTACCACTAGGACTATGATTAACAAAAAAAGAGAGGTGTCGAAAATTACTTTTTCAGTCTTTATCCAATGTTCAGCACAAATGAGGAGATAAATAGAACTTAATTCTGCAATATAGATACCTTTAGAAATGTGTTTTCCCACTGCTAAAAATAACTAATTTATGAGCAGTCGGGAGAAGTTGTAGTGTAAGTGAGTGCAGTAGTATAATTCCTTCTGGAATTCTGTACACTAGGAATATACTGTTCTTCCTGGAATACCTTACGTATTCCAACAGTTATATTCAGCAAAGCCGTCATTATCTCAATTCTTATGAATCCTGTCTTATCTCAGGAGTTATTTGTCCTTTGACTCAGTATATTTTGAACACAAGCAGTTTTTAACTCTTACTTTACCAAGCTGCAGATTAAAACAGATCTGTAAACTTCTTTCCAGCTTTTGTACAGTGTTGCTTATAGCGGCTAGCGTAAAGCTTTCCTCAGCTATACTCAAGACGGCTTACATCAGCTAAAGGGATTGAATATGAAGTCATATTAACAAAAGGCCTTCTGTTTCTGACTGAACAAGAATTTTTCCCAGGGCAGGCACCACTGAAGACATTTGCAGACCCTACGTAGATTTTATGGTGCAAGGAAGAGGGGACACTCAAGGGCTTATTTTGGTTTTCTCAAGCTGAAGTACTTTTGCATTTTGTTTTTCTTCTCTGTTAAACTTTAACTGAATTTAAAATTATGTTGGTAGAACTACGCACATCTCTTGAAGAACATCAGTCTGCCTTGGAACTCATAATGAGCAAGTACAGAGAACAGATGTTTAGGTTGCTTATGGCAAGCAAAAAGGATGATCCAAGTATAATAATGAAGTTAAAAGAGCAACATTCCAAGGTAATGACTTAATTTTTTTTTGCCTTTGCCTTTTTTAGTTAACACTTAAGTTAGTTTGTAGTGGGTCCGTTCAAAGCTTACTTTGTCTCAGTTTTTATACAATTGTACTGACAAGTCCTAATTTTTATAATCCAGTCCATGAAACACAAACAGGAAACTAGGTCAGTCTAGTAAGTCAACCTTACTAGCTTCTGATTTATTTAAGCTTTTACCAAGTAGCATTTCATTTCTGTATGTACTTAATTTACTTTTGTTCTGCCTAGGTCTTTAAGGCAACTGCCCTATTATACTTCCAGATGCCTCTAGATCTCAGTAACATTCAAACATTTAGACTGGCTTTAACTTATGCTTGTGACTCCAACAAATAATTAGTTAACCTATGCTTACTGGGGAGAGTACGAGGAGTAAGCTTTTTCAATTCAATATTCAAATATTTTTCCCCCTAAATAAAACAAATTTAAAAAATATGTATTTTACAAGCTCTTTTGAATATTGAATAACTGAGCATACACCTCTCTTCTTTCCTGCTTCAACCATTGATTCTTGTTTCAGTACTGATCAGGATTGCAAAGTAGAATCCAGGGCAACCTGAGATGTTTGAAGGGTGGTAAAAGTTGCTGGTATTAGGTGTGCTTCATCTTATGGCTTTTGAAAACTAGAAAAGCAAAGTCTCATCAAGCAACATTTTTGTCAACTATCATGAGTGAGGTACATATGAATATTCAGCAGATTCATATAAGATTAATATATGGCTTTATAGATTAATATATTGTTTAGGCTTTTTAAAATGTATTTTCAGGGAAATTCATGATTCTAGGCCACTAAGATCTAAACAGGAGCTTTCTAACAAAGTATTGTTTGCGTACGCAGACAGAGTTACATTGCTTTCTGATTAAGTTACATTTACAATGTAATGCAATACTTTGTTAGAAAGCTCCTGTTTAGATCTTAGTGGCCTAGAATCATGACTTTCCCTGAAAATACATACCTCAACAAACTAAGTTATAGTTATATATCTTTTTCAAAAGAAATTACCTTAGCATATATTATAACATTTCTTACAGCCTCAGGAGAGAGTAAATTTATATCCAAGACGAGGATAAAATTATCTGTCCTGAAATGGACTTTGAAATTTCACTTAGGAACGCTTCTATGGGTTAAAAGCTTGAGGTAAAAAAAAAAAAAAAAAAAAAATAAAAATTGAACAATACTATTTAAACAGGAGATTTAGGCTTCAACACTTTGGTTAAATCTGATCCCACAAGAACACCTGATAAATATTTATCACCCTTATCCTGACACTTAGGATTTCTGGAATTTCGTTATTTCTTCTTCTGATCAGCCTTTACTTTCGGTAAGATTGTTCAATCTTGAAACAGTCTTTAAATACTTCTCTCCTGTTAACTAAGAAATCCATCATACCTAAAGAATTAATCTCATAGTTACGAGTAATTGCTGTTCTCTCAAGTGACAGTTATTAACTTTAGTGTCTATTTACAAAAGGTTATTTTAAAAAAACATTGATTTCTGCAGATCAACAAGCACCTCCTTTAAATAGAAAACCAATTTCTTTTAGCAGTATTGTATGCATGACAAAAGTATGTGTAAGTAGTAAAGACCCTTATTTAAGTGTGCTGTTTGAATTCACTCAACTGAAACAAGACCTAAAAATATCTGTAGTTTTTCCTCGTCAGAGAAAAAAATACCAATGTGTGGCAAATAAAAATGAGAGAGATACGGAAAGTGTTCGTAGATGTTTGAGGCTATCTTCATAAAGAAACACTTTGATTTAATTGTTTGATATTACAGCATTTAAGTTTTACGCATCTGCCTTCCAGACTAGAACCTTTCAGTTTTGTGATAGCATCTGATCTGACGTTAGTGACATTGGAACAGGCCCTAAATCGTATTGATGAAGGGGCCAGGTAAGCTCGCAAAATAGGAAGTAGGGAGGACAGCAGTATATCTAAAAACCACTAACTCCTTTCCAGTCTTTCTCAAGGGTACGTCATTGCCAACTCATTCTTTTATCACTGATCACAGCTTCCTCTCAAGCTAAATTTAGTTTTTCATTGAAAAATGTTTCATATAATGACCTTCACTGGAAACTGAGAAGAAAATAAAGGTTCACCACAGGTTCTTCCCTCCCCTCCCTCTCACCCCTCTATGCTGTGAGTAAACAGCTACACCATAGCTTTGGCAAGGGGAATGGCTGAGAAGAAAGGATCGAAAGGGACAGTGTTCGTTTTAAGTAAAGTATATTTGTTTTGGTCAGGTAAAGTTTATGATTCCAAGTGAGGCAGTTCTTGATGGTAGCTTAATAATTTCTGGTAGTTTAAAAGGCAAGCTGATCCTCTGCTAGATGTATGGACCTCCAGTCAAACTCATAATTTAAAGGTGGGATTTAACTTTAGTTTATACTGTTCTTCATTTCGGTCCTACTGTTCTGCTTTTTCTGATATTAGTAACTATTGTGAATTTTGTCCAAAGGTCAGGTCAGACATGGATAGGCTGGCATGATAGAGTTGGAATAAAAGACAAGTTGAGGAAAAGACAATGAAAAATAAAAGCTTCTGGTAATACCATTAAAATATTTGGCTTAACTGAACAGCAATGAATGCCAAAGGCATTGGCTCTTTATCTAGATCTGCAGGGGAAAAGTAGTAGTGACCCTTTAAACGTTTCTTGCTAGTAGGTTGGCCAGCGAGAAAATAAACCATCACCTGAACCAACAGGGTCCAAGTAAGAGATCACTTCTCTGCAAACAGCAAAGACTACCTAAAATCTAGCTTCCCTGTAAAGGCTGTTATGCCTACGTAAGTGGCTGCTATCATCCCACTCCTGGCAGCGGAACAGGGCAAGGGCAAAGCAAACTACTGCTCTTTTTCCTCTTCCTCAAATCTTTCAGCAAAATGGGGTAGGTAGTTAGTTATAATAGGAAAGTACCATACCAGCATTAATGAATGGACACAAAGAGGTCAATCAGGACACAAAAATTTTGCTTACAATTCAGCAAGGACAAGGACCTCTGAAGTCCAGATCCCAGATAAGCTGGAATTGGAAGTGAATTCAAGCAGAAATATCTAAAAAAAAAAAAAAAAAAAAAGAGCTAAGGACAGATCAGAGTTTTCTAACGTACAATGTAGTAAGGACAACCACTTCACCTGGTGTTTTTAAGAGATATATGCCTACCCCTGGGCTGGTACTGCCTGTACCAGACTTGAGATCAGGTCTCAAAGAAATAGAATGTCACATACCCTGCTTTTTCTTAGATGAGTTTAGTCTTTCTGCATATCCTCAATCATATTCATCAACTCCTGCAACACAGGAAGGCCTTGTCAGAGCAAGCACATGGCTCATCTAACTTGTAGCTTTCATGTCTTCCAAACAGCTATGTAAGACAGTCATTTAAGCATATATAAAATTCTAATAAAAGGCATCAGCGTGGCAGACCAAATTTATTTAAACAAACAGGACCACAGTAGCTGCTCATGCTGTAGAGTTATACAGAACTTTTATCCTCAAATTTAGGCCTGTGTTCACATTTTTATTAAGTGGCACAGCAGTTAAATGCACACTTAATGCTTTGCTTATTTTTAATAATGCAGAAAATATATTACTAAAGCGGTCATTATTTTATTCTCATGCCTTAGGAGCTGCAAGTGCATGTGGACCAAATTACAGAAATGGCAGCAGTAATGAGAAAAGCCATTGAAATTGATGAGAAGCATGGCTGTAAAGAGCAGGAACGTATCATTCAGCTTGAGGTAAGTATGAAATCAAAACACCAGTGGCACAAATAGCAAAGGAGTAAGTGTTATCACAATTATTCCTATTGAGTTACTGTACCAGTCACTCACACTGCTATTTTGTTACAGTTTCTTGTTGGGTGGGCTGTAAGTACTATTTCCCCAACTATAGCTTTCTCAAGTCCTGCATAGGTGATACTTCATCACCGAAATCAGTGATTTATATTTATATACTGGCTTAAGCTTTCTCTTTTTTAAATGTCTCTGAGTGTAGCAAAGCTGGGAAATAATGCAAATTCATCCTAATAAGAGCCTAGGATGCAAAAAAAAATAAGACTCACACCTTTGGCTTTTAATTATTTTGTTTTAATAATAATTTTGTGCTTTTGGAGGGATTATCAATTGTTTATTATTGGAGGATCAACACTTTCTCTAAGTGCTAGCAAAGTGCAGTTCATTGTGGGTCAGAGCATATGGAAAGAAGGGGAGATTTCTTTGAAAGGCAACATTTGAACTTAATTACCTTTTTCTTACACATCTTTGTGTTTTGAGCTTCTTTTTGATGCTTTACGCTCATTCAAGAGAGCAAGAGGCTCAGAAACCTAATGTTCTTAGTTTTAGAAGATAAGTAGCACTACCTGACTGCAAATCAGTATTTTAATCCTTATACATATGTTTGGAGTAGAGGGGAGACTATTAGTTACGTTGACTTCTTTCTGGAGTTACATTAAATGCCTTTTCTTTCTCTGGTTATAGCAAGAAAACAAAGGCTTGAGAGAAATTCTTCAAATAACTAGAGAATCATTCCTGAACATCAAGAAAGAAGATGCATCGGAGAGCACGTCTCTGTCAGGATTAGTAACAAGCAGTGATTTGAGCCTGAGAAAAAGCTGAAGACTATGGAAGTCAACAAGCTTCAATTGCACACTTTACAAACAGAGTATCAGGGGTCACTTGTCAAGCACTTGTTACTGAATAGGGCACCAGCAAGCTAATGCATCTTAAACCCCAGTTTAGTGGCTTTTATACTGCATAAACTAAATTGAAATTGGTATTCTACAAAAACCTTAGTGACAGATTAATTGCCATAGATCTAACTTCAGTAGGAAATGGATTCATGCGCTTCCTGAATTGGGAATTATTTTTATATAAAGCCATTTTACAGATGAAGATTTCACATTATTTATATAAACTATTGCTCATACAAAGTTTCAGTGCACCTATTATGTAATAAAGGTAAGATTTGAAGTCTGATCGCTGGCTAAAAAGTAGTAACTTATAAGTATGCTTTGTGCATGATCCACATTACATATTTTTTCCTCTTAGTAAGTTTTTTTTAAAAATTCTCATTTTGCAACCGACCTGTTTAACAGGAATGGTACATAGGCAGCATAAAACTTAGGGATTTCTGTTATTTAGCTACTGAGTATCCTGTTCAAATATAAGGCAAATTGTTTAAATACAAGCAAAGCCATTGAGGTTGTTCCATTTTTTTAATGGAACAAGATTCTTTAAAGTACATATACTTAATTGTATTTTCAACACATGAGAAGAGCTGCTCCCACTGTATTGCTTTCTGGAACACAGCACAGTATCATTCTGCCTTAGCTTTTACTTTTACTTTACTATAGTAAAAGAGGCCACAGAGTCCTATAGATTTCTCCTCTTGATTGCTCTGGCCAAACATTTCCTAACTGGGAAACGACAATTTGAAAGCACCCAAGAAGTAGCAGCAGAAGGGTAGTTGGGGGAAGGATGGAGAAGCTCCATGGCCAAGTTGGCAGCCTGCATGCCTGCAATCAACACTCTTAAAAATCCTTCTTGATGACTATTTAGTACTTAAAGAAAAATTAAGTAAGTTTCAGGTACATAGTATGTTTGCACTAGGAAAAGTTTTAGTATGCTATACTGACAAATAGACTGCTTGCTTTTAATCCTGAAATACTTGAAGTGAAAAGGAATGGGCTTTTCTAGATCAAAGTGCAGCTCATATTGTACGCAGATGCGATGGAAGTGCTACCAAGGCAAGCTTGTAGTAAGGAGCTGCCACAATCATTCATATTTGGCTTTTGTCAGACTATATCACTTCTTGGTCAAGGCAGCAAGAACATTCCTAGTGTTGATGTGTATAATCACTTTTTGTCCAGCACATTAATACATTGTTTATTTGGAAAGCAGCCTCAAAGAAGCAGAGTGAAAGCTTTCAACCACAGAAAACCATACATGCCACCCACAGTTGAATATTTTAGCTGTTTAATAACTCATTTAGCAAAATAAGTCATACCCCTACTCTGAAATAAACTGTCATTTAATCAAATACGATTTTTAGTTGCAACAATGCAAAAAAGAATTAAGCATCGAGCACTTCTAAGCATGTCAGTTAAATACAACTTCCTTTGACTCAGTACAGCTTCCCTGAGCGCAAGGTAGATGCCCCACAGGTCATTTAGGTGACCTTTCAGTTCCCAGTGACCTAATTTATAGGGAGCGTAATATTTTGCTATCAGTTGCTGCCCTCCTTCGTGTAGCGCTTTGAAGAGGAAAAAAAAAGTGGTGGGAAAGGAGTGTTTAGCAGAGACAATAAATGCCAGTTTTCAATTTAATACATATGCTAGAAGATGCAGTTGAAAGAAGAGATAAATCAAGCTCTCCAAGTTTTCACAGCATTTTTTAAAAATAGAGAAACTGCTACTTCTCTTTCCAGAGCATCTTAGCTTGGTTCTAGGCTTAAGAATATATCAAGGACATTCACGTGCATGGAGAAGAGTTTTAACCATTTCCAAACTTCCTAAACATCTGGGAGGAATTTTTTGGGGAACATTTTAGCTCAAGCACAAGATATACTTGTCTGCTAGCTGTAAAACTTTGCCAATGCTTCTATAATTTAGATTTTGCATTGCACTTGCAAGCTGGTGACTTATCAGAAGTGACTTTTTTTCTTTTTTTAAATGAAGTGTGTTTTGTTGTTGCAAACTTACCAGAAATTTTGGTTTGGTTGATTAAGTTATTCTTTTCAGAAGTGTCTTTTCAGCCACTGACTGGTATCATCAGAGGCATTTATATCCATTTAATGCTGAGTGCAGTTTCATGGCTGACTTTCCGGGTTGTCTTTCAATCTCCAGAGCTGTACAGCAGAGAAGGGTTGTTAGTCTGTGGCAGTTCTTTAAGGTTGCTCTATTACGAAATAATGCTTGATTAGTGTTTATTTTTGTAAATTAAAAAAAATGTGACTTAATTTATCTACTCCTAGTCTTCACGTTTGATACGTCTCCCCATCATTGCCCTGACCCGATCACTTTAGGATCTTAAAGAACCTTCACGGTGTGTGGAGTGACTATTTTTCATTGCGTACCTGTTATTTTTGTAATGCAGATGGCTTGAAAAGAATTTATGGCTAGAGTTGTGTACTGTACAGTAAACTTATTTTATCAATAAAGTTAACTGAAAACATGGAAGTCTTCATGATTAAAGCAAGGTACTGAATCCAAAATGAGCCTTGTCAGCAACATCTAAGAAAAGGCATTATTTTGTCATTTACTCAGCTTATTGTTACATTTTAGCAGGAAGGCCAGTTACTAGTGCTTTTATTCACATTGCTATACAGGAAAAGAAAAAATCCTCTGTAAAGTCTTCATTTTCTCTTGGAAAACTAACACTCTGTTCTACAGAGAGTTACTCATACTCCAAATGAACCACTGGAACTGTTTACTAATATGGAGGAGCAGTAAGGACAAACAAAAAGCAGTCCACTGGGCTTTGATTTTTGGATCAAAACATTTTGGTACAGACAGGATGTCAGAGTTGTGGGGTTTTCCTTGAAGATTTTAAAAACAAAAAAGTCCCTTTGACTCAGTTCAAGCCCCAAGTTCCTTTCTCTCTGATGTGTAAATGAGAGTGTCAGTGGGTGACATGCATAAGCTGCCAAGATAAGGTTTTCCCCACTTCCCTGTGATTTCTGATGAGAGCAGCTTTTTTCTGTATCATAAATTCTGTGTTTAAAAGACTAGTAATAAATGTCAAGCTAACTCATAAATACATGTAAGCAGCTATTCAACTGAGTTAAAACTGAAGGGCAGCTTGAAACTAAATTGGGCTGGTTTGTACAACTAAAAGCTTTAAATAGCTTTGGCCTTTTAACAAACCTATTGGGTTAGAAGATTATGTTAAAATACAGAGCTAATGACACTGTTTTCGTGCAGAATTACATTTATCTTTGTAGATACCCAAAATAAGATTTACAGTGGTTTAGGAAGTTTTCAGGTTTAGTTGGTAAACATTAAGTTTTAAAAGCACTTTTGCTTAGTAAGAAAATAACTTCTAAATCTCCTATTTGAGTGTAAAACATGCACTTACTCTTTCTGCAGAAACTGATGTCTGAGACAAGAGGTGGCTAAATTGGTTAACGTGCCAACGTGCTGGTCACAGTATGACAGGTTGTACACAGTGACAATGGGAAGATGAGACAGGAGAGCAAAAGAAATCGTAAATTGGAACATGGTAAAAAGCAAGCTTTAACATTAGACAATTTCTTTATCAGCCTTTTCAACATCGCGCTGTTGGTAACGCTTAAATTCTGGAAATGGCATCAAGTTGCATGCTGCCACCAGTGACCAAAGAAAAGGAGAAAAAGCAGCAAGATGCAGCAGGAGCACCGCTCAGCTGTGGGTGTCCAAAAGCTGCCAGCTGTCTGCATGATTGTCCCGGAAGGCGTAGTCTCAGAGGGATTCGTCTAACTTGGTTTGCAAACAAACCAGCTCATTATTGGCCTAAAAATGATCTCCCGCACATATCCCCAAACCAGCACTAACACCCAAATGCCTGTTGTTGCTGTTCGAAGAGCACCAAAGTACATTCCGTACAACATCACAGGCCCTCTTGCTAAACTTACCCTTCCACAACACCAAGGTGCACTGGGAAAACCGTGCGCAGCGTAGACCAGTTTGATATCACACACGTGTACCTGGCAGAGGTGTACGTCACCTTCAGCCTCACCTTTTGCTCATCCCATTTTTTCTTTTGTTTGCGATGCAGTTGAATTTCATATTGATTAGTAGAGTGGACTAATTTAAACAAAGTCATTTAGCTTCCACATATTAAAGTGTGCTACAAAATAAAACAGATTCTAATTCAATGACTGTTCGAGGAAAGCTACCGATGTTCCTGCTGCCTGCAGCCACCTCCCTTCCCCATGTACATGTTGGGAGCCAATGTGGCCACGCCTTTCCGTCAGAGAACATTTCTTTCCCAAGTTCAGAAAAACCCCCACTCGTCTTCCATCTAGAAGAAAACTTTAAACATCTGCTCAAGATGGAGGGAAACATTTTGTCATTCTAGTCTTCAAAAGAGTACATGCTGGCAACACTCCTCAGACATGAGCTGGAGACTGGTGGCACAAGGGAAACAGAAAGGGACTGTGGTTAGAGTCCTGCTTGTCAAAGTCTTGCCTTTTTCTAAAGAATGGCAGAACAGATAATTGCCCTACAACATTCTCTCCACCAAAAATACCTTAAATATATTTGAGGATGGCTATTTCAACAGTAAAAAGCATTTGATACATTTCTGAAAATTCAGTTGTCGGAAGCTTAAACAATACAACATGCTAATGAATGTAGGGCGATCACTGTCTTGGGCTTCCCAATACCATGCTCAGGAACATAGTAAACAATTTTTTAAATGAATCATCATGTGCAACTCCTTAAATTACTGGCTAGGCAAACACCAGCTGCCTCCTACGATATACTCTCTGCTTTTTTCCTTCCTGCATATAGCTTTTTTCCCCTCCCGCATAGTGTTCAGGATTTAAAAAAAAAACCAATCCAGCTCATTTTGAGATTAGATAATCTGTTGTTACACCAGAAGGCACTAAGGATAATGCAGAAAAATTGCAAAAGGTGATTTTTTTTTTTTTTGACAAGGCAGACTTGTGAAAATCCAGTTCCAGAGCAGGTAGGTAAGTTGCATGTAAACATTTTTTCCTCCCACTCCTCCTCACCCCTGAAATGAGCTAATTTATTGCTCTGTTTTGAAGTTGTCTTTCCCCAGCGTGCATGAAAGTATGAAGCCTTGCATACTCAAACAGAAGACAGCTGTCTGTCTATAGTTATGTGCTAGCAGACAAGGTCTGACATCAGTAAAAAAATATTATAAACAATAAGCATCTGCTTGAACAAAAATGGTATTTGAGCTTTATTTCTAAAGAAAACTGAAACATCAAAACCTACTAATTAAAGATGCGGGAGGGGACAACTTAACTAGATTAATATTGACAAAATTCAAATATACACAGGGATATATCAATGCATCTCAGCCACTGAGTTAGAACACATTGACCCAACACTTCCAATACTTATCTGTAGGATATTTACTTAGCAGAAGCTTAACACTTCTTATTCTGACTATTCATTAGATAAACCAACCGGAAACCAAAGTTATAATAAAGCCCACCACAAGTACCACTGCAAAGATCACGTGCAAACCTACAACATGCTCCCACCAGTTTTAGACAGAGAGATGAAAAGCTCAAAGGCTTAGTGAAAAACACACATTTTAAGACGGGGTATATTTATTTCTCAGGAAGGGCTTCCCATCCTTCAGAAGTGTTTTCGGATAAGGCACAGCTCTAGGCAAGGACAGAACAAGAGCTGGAGAGCCTCGCTGGGGTGAGAAGAAAGTGTCAGTGACAGCTTCCAGAAGGAAGGTGTTGGGAAAGGCCATTTTTGCACCTGTTCCAGGTTGAAGTAAGAGACAGAGGGGACCAAAGAAATCATTTAAGCTTCACTCACTTCTGCTATTGCAAAGAAAAGCAAAGGCTGTGTAAGGGTAACCTGGCACTAGTTAGGGAAGCAGGAAGAAAGATGTGGTGGATGAGCAATAGCTACAAGATCTGCAATGCTGGAGGATGATTTTGGGGAGTCTTAACCCAGCCTGCTGCCTAGACACTATAAGGCAAAACATATGCCTCGCGCTTCAGGGTTAGGAGCAGAAGTACCCTAACCTAGTCCTCTAAAAATTAAAGAAAGGGTTAAAAATACAGTAGAGTCTACTTAAGGAGATCATTAGAGGAACAGAACATTTTCTTTGTTAACATCACCCCAGGAGCTCCAGAGCAGCCACGCTCGCCCAAAGGCAGCGGTGAGGAACAGATCTCCCATTGGACATAGGAGAGACCAGAGCAGAGACAAAGGGTCCCATTCTTCCCTCTGCAACACAGCACTCTTATTTAACAGGCAGATTGTAAACCACTTTCCTACCCAAACCCAACACCACCAGACGTCACTGTGGTTGGCTGAGCTTCATGACTGGGCCCTGCTAGGAGTATCAGCAGTTTAAACCTGTTAGCCAAGTTCAGTCCTTAGCCTCTCATTAAAAGTAACACCTTCCCGAAGAGTTACTATGGCACAGACATCAGAACAACAGGATTTCAGTCCTCAGGCAGTTTTAAACTAACTTTTACCCTCTGTTTCAGTATCCAATTGCTTGGGACAGTTTCATACAGTTTTGGCAATGCTTAAGCACCTCAGACAGGTGCTTAAGAGAGCAAGCCACCAAACGACCCAGGGCATGTAAAAGCCTCTCTGACAGCTACACCAGAAAGATGTCAGCCAGGTAATGTATTTCACAGGACTGAGTTTGTCTTTCAGACTGGCACTCCACAAAGTTCATGTTCTGCTCAGGTTTCCCAAAGCTACAAATAGCAATAGTGGAAAGCTAAGACAACGTTTTCTCAGAAGTCTCTATCACGGGGTTTACACAATACCCAGCACCTGGGCCTCCCAAATGGTTCCGAGTGCTTTATAACCTGATGCATGCAACATTTCTACCACCCAGTTGAGAAGATGCAAGAACTAATATCTTTACTTCTTACCAAGCACTAGCAGCATGGACTATTAGATTGGAAGATCTATACCACACTGTTCCTCCCAGTAAGGAAAGCCACGTGCACAAGATACGTAACTGCAGAGATGACAAAGAAACATTTGTTTTGTGAGCCCCTTCTATAATTTCCCATAACCTGCTCTCAAATCAAAACAGCAAGCTTAGGAGAGGGGAGAGCTTGTCTTAGGAGAGGGGAAAGCTTGTCTTCTTCCTCTCCAAAGTAGACCTATGGAAAGCATGATTTGTTTCTACTTTCAGACATACATTCTGAACATTTGGGGAAGGAGGTAGGCAAGGTGCCTCACACATGTAGCGCTCCATGAAGTGGTAGTGTCAGGCTGGGTTTGTGTGTTTAAGGTGAGGAAGCAACCACAAGAACAAAGGAAGATCTGTTTCTTTAAAAAGATCAGTCTCCTCATGTCCACTTGTGCCACAGCTAGTTTAAGTGCTAGGAGAAGTTGCACAGGTGGGAAAGCAAGGGAGGAGGAAGAAAGTTTCTCCTGGGGATTTCAAGCAGGACTGGAACACATGCAGACCTAGGAAAGCTCTACAAGCAGCTAAGACAAATACCATGACGTGGTCATTGCAGCATTATTACAGTGCAACAACTGCTCTGAGAAAACTCAAGAGCTAGAGATGTACAGGAGCCATCAAAACAGGAAAGTTCTCTACAGCAGCAGGAAGTAGATCATCATCATAGCCCAGAAAGCTTCAGTTTACAAGAGGCTTCAAAACACTTGATTTTACAGGGCAATCACTACCTAGAAGAACAGAGTTTAGATTTAGATTCCCCAGGAGCATCACATAGCATTATTTTAAGCTAGCAAAACTGCAAGGTAATACAGCCAATGCAGGGCAGTAAATGCTTCCAGTGGGAGATTCCCAGTCAGAACAGAAGCATAGCAGGGTAGGATCTAGTTTTCCTTTTGCAATCTGCAACACAAAAAACCCCTAGAAAATTACCTCTTCAACACCCCAGTGGATCAGTTAGTGTATTCTCATTATCATCACTGTTACCCACTATGGTTTATGAAATATGGAAGAAATTCCCATACCATCTCTTTGCAGTATTCAAGAAAGACAGAAGTCCCCAAGTCAGGATCTCAAAAAAGGTTCAAAGCCCAGCTCTGCCATATAGACTTCCTACATGATCTGGCAGACTAGTTTCCACTTAAGAACCAGACAACAACCACCACCACCAAGGTTCTCTAGAACCTTGTCCAACAAAGCTATAAAAAGCCTCTTGGGACCATGCACTTCCTCATTAGTTTCACACAAAACATGACCACACTCTCAGCCTCTGGGTGTCACTGTAACTACAGGAAGTCCTTCAACATGTCAACTAAGCTCCCCCCCACCCCATCCCTTGAGGGTCCAAGACATTTTTCAAAACAAAGTATCCCTACAATACCAAAGGCAAAAGCTAAGGTGTAAAAACATCATTGAATTCAAAGAGACCCTTTTAGTTCCAGTATTCTTTCAAAAGACATCTTTATTATAAAAGATATAGAAAAATCAGAGTTAAACTTGTTTCTTCCACAATGTTAATCACAGCAGTTATAAAAAAACCCAAGGTAAACATGTTTAAGAGCATTTATATACCAAATAAGTGTTTGCTACTTGCCATCAAACACGGCAAAGACATGCTCAGTATCAGTGCAGTAAGGGCAGTCAGCGAGCATCAGTCTGCCAGGGGCCAGGGAACGAGCTCCTCATTCACCCCCACGTGCCACACAACAGCACAGTGAAGCAAGACCCAAATTGCAGAATTTCTTGCTCTGCTGTTTGAGGCAGCTGTTCCAGCTCCAAGCAATCACAGGATTTGCCTCTCCAAATATTAGATCAGCTCAGTCACCTCAGATGCTATGTCATTAAGCTTTCACTCCTTAAAGAGAAATGGCCAGTAAGCAGAGTCACTTTAAAGTCATTAATTCCTTTCCACTGCTGGGGTGTTTTAAGTTTCAACTAAGTTATCAGATAAAGTTCTTCCGCCAGTTTCCTTACAAAGAGTTGTTTCTTACACACTTACTACCAAGATTTAAAGTGGTGGCTGAGAACTCAAGTTTCCACCACTAAGGTATTCACTCATGGTGGTTTCATTCAGGTACCAGAAGAGCCATTCACTTTCAGACAGGACAGACTATGCCCTTTGCTGCCCACACTAAAGGTACAAAGTTAGTGAGAATAAGAAGGAAGAACCACTATAACCTGTATCCAGGTACAGGACGCAAGACTTCAACCATCATTTAATGCATGGCAGATCACCACATAAACACTGAATATGAAGATCAGGATTGGGAGCAGGGGCAAGGGCAGGTAAAACCAAGGACAGCCTCAGGACCGCTTGTGCTTTTTTGTAAGCCAAACTCACAACACTCCAGTTTGCTTTTTGAAAATAGCTGTTGATTTTGTTTAAGGAATTGAATAAAGCCACAACGTGAGATCACAGTTCACTGAACACAAGCATGGTCCCTTGCCTGTTCCATTGCTTTCTGCTTTGGGCAGATGCAATCCAAATTGGCAGGGAACACATTCAGTCAGCAAGGAGTCTGGTCAGTATTTTGCCAGCTGGATGCTGTTTTCACCCCTTAAAGGCAAAATTAAAAGATACATTGATTAAAAATAAAAATAGTTAGTGTTTCAACAAATTCCAGGACAAAAAACTGCCACTGGCTACAAAGAGCTTGTTTAGTTTTTTCTTTCATGACAGCACCATCAAAAAGAGATTATATCAGAGCAGAAACAGGCTGTTCAGAAAGCATACAGGGAGGCAAACCTCTTGTGTTCTCTTAGCAGTCATCTCTGCACAGAGACCAGATGACCAGCTTGCTACAGAACCATCCAAAAGCAAGGGAGAAAATCTTCTCGTCTCAGATCAGGTCCACTTCCTGAGCCCCAGCGTGCACACTTACAACAGTTAATTCAGTGCAGTTTAAATTCAAGTTACTTCGTTTAGCTTGCAAGATTCAGTAATACTTCTTGGGAACAAATGTGTCTGCAGCCACACATTTTGTACCTATATTAGAAGGTGATACTTCAGTTGCTGCTAGAAGAACTCCTTCTGTGTATGGTCCTTCTCTCTCATCCCTCGCAACCTGACAGACCGCTCACCTTCAGGAGCAAGTCAGGGAATATTTCAGCAGTGGTTTCCACACTGCGAGGGAAGAACCAGCATTGTACGGGTTGCTTTATACCTCACATACCTAAACAAACTAGATCACCACAAGATAAATACCTGTACTTGACCATTAGCACAAGATTCTGCAGCTAGACATATGCATGTTACAGCAGGCTGAATGGGCCGTTGAGGAAAGTCACAAAACAGTGTGTAGTGTACCAGACAGATAACTTTTCTTCCAGATTGGGCAAATACAATCCTCTTAAGCAGGATGAGTTGGCAGTGGTAAATCTTGCACCACTGGCTGGTTTGCTGGTGATCACTCATCTCACCATTCCTAGATTCTTTCTCTCTGTTCCCACTAGTTATTTGGCATGTTACAGAAGCAACGGAGTTCTTTCCCCAGCCGGCTGCTCCTTCTGAAAAAGTTCTTTGATATGCAGTAGCTTGTTATGGATCCTGTCTCTTAGGGGAGGGATATGATGGCTAGGGTCTAAAACATTTGTGCTTCTGCGCTCCCTTTCCCGCTTCCAGGTGAGATAGGGGTGTGGTGGGAAGGGCACTTCACTTCTCTCTCGGCGAAGCTGCACAGTAACTCCACTGAGGGCCAGCATTATCCACACTGACAGGATAATGAAGTCTGAAAGAAAGAAAAACAAACAGATTCTTATATCAAAGCAGAACATCCTTTCCTTTCCCAAGCACACCAAACAAGTTTAGAAACAGAAAGGAATGAAGCATTGTCTCTCATGTGCCTAGAGTACATCCATGCAAAGGCAAGAACACACGGAGTTGAGTGTTCAGTCACCGTATTAGGCCTTTTGACTGCCCGCTCTGCAAACTCATCAGCAAGGTGGTAGTCCAAGCCTGAGAAGCACCTTTCACAAGGGTCTCTGTCACATCAAGGCTCCAACCTTCCAGCAGGTGTTGAGTCTCAGTATTTCTTTCGGAGAAGTAGAATTTGTCATCTGGGTGTTCATTTCACACTGTACTTACTGCGTTCTCCTTTCACCTCTTCCTAGCCTCACTCACTGTTCATAAGGGAACCAAAGAGGTAGCGTTTTTTCTCTTAAAAAAAGAAATCTTAAGAGCAGTACTCACCATTTCTTTGAAAAGGCACATTGGTGTAAGCTCTGCTGAAGTAATCATTGAGGACCCTTCTGAGTAGGTCTAAGGTGATGTAAGCAAGACTTGTGTAGACATAGCAAGCAATAGCTAGGATCACTGCATAAGAGCCTACTATTCCAGAGGCCAGTATGTTTAGCTACAGGGGGGAAAAAAAAAATGCAGCTTTAGGAGACTGATAAACAGTCTTTGTTCCCCACCTCCTTAAGACAGTATTTTGTATCTGTTCTTCCACAAGAAATTGGCTGCACATGCCTGTTATCCAGATATGCTGTTAAGACAGCACAAGTTGACTCAATGCAAGTGTTAGTGGATGCTATGTGCTACATTGCAGTCACTCCTTTGCTTATGGACCATTTAGGACAAGTAGGTCTGAACAGGAACTCCCTAGAGCTGGTGGTCCTGTGCTGAGCTTCATGAAGCTATGTTAAGTCTTCTGTACATATCCCACAGGACTACATTTTGCATTAAGAAGTTTGACACCCCTTCCACCCAGTGCAGATTACTTACAATTCTTGGGCAGCCAACAAAAAGCACTGGAATCATCAAGGCTACAGAAGAAAAGGTCACCCAGAACACAACATCGTCACGGAAGACCCTGTAGTCTCCTGCAAAGATACCATATTCCACATGTCATTTACCAAAAAAGGAAACATTTTGCTAACTAGCAAGTGGTTAGGGACAAGCTTCCCCCCTCCAAAGACTCTGTGCATTCAGAAATCTAGAGTACAGTGTTGAAGAGCTTAGCTTTTGAGCTCAAATGCTGATTAAGATGCGTTGTAACAGTTACTCAAAACAAGAACAGAAAAAGACTGTCCCAGTCAAGTATAGCTCCTGTACTCAAAATTGGGACAGCAGATCTTGCCCATGAAAAAGATTTTTGGTGAGGTATATATTACATATCTGATAAGAATAAAAAGCACCAGAGTACTTCTGCCCAATAAGAAGCCATTGTACTGCCTACATCGGTCTATAATCTATAAACCAGCATCTATGTAAGTTTGACTCTAGAGTATAGTGCAAGTGCAGCCATCACACCACTGATGTGTGATGGCAACAAACTCTTCTGGCTTTAGGAAGAGTAAGTCACTCAAGCACTACTCTGCTTTCCCTGCTTTCTAAGGCCTGTCAATTAAACAGAGAGGACAAGCTGACCCCCAGCTGAGTCACTGTTTTACTTTAGTGAAGAGCAACCAGAGACTGCATGGATTATCACAGAACTGTGGCTTGAGTCAAACACAGATAACTGGAGAATGAAACACTGGCCCACCAAGGCATCTTAAGTAGAAGAATTGCAAGATTTAAAATTACAATAGAGAAAGCAGCATGGCTGATGCTCTGATGTCCCTGAGGGATTCCAGCTTAACAGCCTTGCTTGCTGTGAAGTGATTTGACTATTGTTTCTCTTAGCAAAGCCATCCTAAAGATCCTAATGAAGTCAATCCAGCTGCAAATACAAGTTTGACTCTTACAATGCAGTGCTCCCAGAGCCATGGTGAAAGGTAACAGCAAGAGCTCTTCTTAATCGTGATGCCTTTATGCCTGAAGCCTGCAGATTTTCTACTGTAACTTGCTCTGAATAGGGAGCAAGACAGACAACAAGCACTTGCCTGGAGCAGAGCTGGCGCCAGACTGCTGAGATGGCATGCAGCTTAGGTGGGAGGAACCTCAGCAAGGTCTCTGCAGAATAAGCAGTTTCCTTTTCCCACCAGTGCAGGCTCCCCAAGTAATTTTAATTACAGCACACCTGAAAGGCTTCAAGTGCATCTCTAATCCTCCTAACACTAGAAAGGGAAAGTTAAACATCACACCAAGATAAACCAGCTAGCAGCATTCATCTTAGAACCTTTGGAATGCTTCACTTAATAGCCAGCAATTTGCAGCAAAGTATTTCAGTGCATACCTAGTGGAGTAAAGAAGACCATCGATGAAAAGAGAAATCCCAGCACAAGTCCAATAATAAACACACAGAGTAGGACAGAGCCAAATCTCCACCAGCTTGCAACCAGGAAAAGCCCTCCAATAGTTCCAGCTACTGCTGTCAAAATAAGACGCACTGAAAAAGAAAAGGGAAATTCCAAACTGAGAATTGTGGCAACACTCGAAGCTTCAGTTACTGCAACAACATATTTAGCAGCTTTATTTACATGCTTGATTTTTGCTACCTAATGAAAACTTTCTGAAAAAAGCCAAACAAGAATATCAGTATTTGCTTCATGCATTTCACTCAGACTCCAGTCTGCAACTGAGGGCGTGCTACTGAAAGTGGCACAGGACTGAAATGAAAGTCTTGCTAATATGTACATCAGACCTTCAGTTCCCAGAGCATTTGTGGTTGCAACAGTTAATGCACATGTATCAAAAAAGTAACTATACAAGGTCCGACAAGTACAAAAGGAACTAACTTTTGCCAGTCTAACAAGCAGGATACAGACCTTCTACTCCATCATTTTACATATGAATTCTGCATTTGATCTGAAACTGATGACCAACCATTATGAAATTAGGAAGGAAGTATGTTGCAAATTTCCAGAGTTTCTAAAAACCTGTATTTTTCTTGGATAGATACTGAAATTTGTCTTTTATAGTTGCAGCTATGAATTCTGCATCACTACTTTGTGTCGGAAACAACAGTTACTCTGTTGTGTATTCAGCTATTACGGTCATCAGCGCTCAGCTCAAGTACCCAGGTATCACCCTCCTACCCATCTTAAGGCTGGCCAACAAGAAGCACAAGTGAGATTTTACTTACGGAATTCATATCAGTAATACTTTGGGAAAAACATGGGGTATCCTGACACATCTACTCACCATCATAACCAAGGCCGGTTACCCTTGTAATGAACACAAAGAAGAAGAATCCTGTGAATATGAAGCCCATGAAGAATAAGTCTAGAGAAGAAGGGGAAAAAAAGGTTTAGTATGCTGTCATATCACTTCATACCAAGTCCACTGCAGTACATCTTCAGACACCTTCATGTTACAACAGGGAAGGAACATCTCAGCTCACTGGCCAAGAAGCACAAACAGAAAGCCAGACAACACTTTATTCTGGAAAGGGGTGTCTTCAAGCACTTCAAACAGTCAAAAAATTACTTATTTGTATCTATGTTCCCCAGCAGGCACCCTAATTCAAGGTTACTGTTGAATAGCAGAAACTTCCTTCTCTACACTTGAAAGTTCTGATCCTATTAAAGCAAAAGTAGTGGACCTAATTTGTATGTAGTCGCTATCAAGTGATTCTTAGTAATAACACCACCATTCTAAATTACAGCAAGTTACATCTATGAAATTCTAACTGGACATATAAAAAAACCCATTCAGTACCTGTTTTCCAGAATCTGTGTCCAAAAAAGCAAGTGAAAAGACCAAGAACAGCAAGAGCAGTGAAGAATACTTTGGTAGAGAGTTTGCCTATATGGAGAAAGAAAGGGTTACTACAGCATCTGCCTAGTAGTTACAACAAGGAGACTACACTAAGGTCATGGGTTGCTGTCACTGTGCCTATTGACAACTTAATAGATGCTTCTCCTTCAGGCACACCATGTGAGCAGAACTAACAGTTATCTTGATAGCATCTCCAACAGAATATTGGAGTAGTTCCAGTCTGATTAAGAAATCAAGAGCTTCCTCCTTTTTCAAAAGGCTGAAGTTTCTGTAGCAATTAGTTAAGTAGCTGTAACTTGCTGTTTACAATACTGATACAGCTTTACCTGAAAATTCTCTGCTCGGCTTTAAAAAGAATATCCAGTCATCTCAAAAAAAAAAAAAAAATCAGTGCTACAGGATTAGTGACCCAGGCAACAGCTAATAGTCTATCACTGCAGCCTTCACCATAGTCTCCCTTCCGTTCAATGGAAAGGACTATCAGCATCCCAGTATGGCTCACTTATCTCCTAGCTTAAATTCCAGTAAGAATTTTGCCTATTTGAAACAAGTAAACCACATTTTCCTTGTTCTCTGAATTAGAGGAAAGGGTTTTAGCCTTGATTTTTTGTCTCAAGTTGTTGTAAGAAAACACCAAGTTTGATAAGTTACTTGTGTTACAGTATATGATAAGAAAATAATCAGATTAACAAATCTTACTTAATGAACCACATTCTCATTCTTGTCCCTTCTATAGACATAGTGGGAGTTGCTCTTCTTCCACTCAAATTCTATCACTATATAGCTTTGTACAAAGCAGCATAGTCATTTTGCTATTGCTGGCGTTATCTTAACTCTTATTTTACGTGACTATCTCCTTTCAAAGTATTTGTAGGTTACCAATTCCTGTTAGCACCAGCACAGTTAGAAAAAAAAAAATCAGGCTGGACTTCAATCTAGTTCATGTTTTATTAGCTTAGTTTCACATGCAGCACCTATAGTCCTACAAAATGATATATCCAATTCAAATGGAAAAAGCTAGAGTGGCATTATAGAGTTGAAAGCTATATATTTGCAAGCCACATATTAAACCTCCATTAAGTTAATCTTCAGTTGCTAATAGCTCTCCTTAGTCTTATTTTTTCATTCTAGAATTTCTTCTCAATCCAGAAGTAGACATCAAAAAGTAAGAAAATCTACCCAGTGTAGAACAAATAGCTCTTCCACACATGTAAAAAAAAATAGTCCTCAGAAGCACCACAAGCTTGAAATGAATTGGCAAGGACATACAAGTCCCAACTTACTAAGAGAAGAGCAGTTATCCACTAGGTCAGCAAAGCTGCAGGCATATGTATGCACAGGTATGTATGCAGCAGATGTATTCCAAAGAGGATCCCATACTATGACATTGTAGATCACACCTTGTCCAGGAAGTGAGGAAAAGTAGACATTGGTCTTGTCATCAGCTGTTAGTGTAAGCATCTAGAACAGAAAAGAGTATTTTTAACTGCAAGGAACTACTTGTCACTGTTACTGATGGCATGTTGATGTGTCCATACAGCTGGAGGCAGTACTCAGCAGCTCAAGGAAGATGATCAACAAGAACTCCAGGCAAGAGCTCTCCTATTCCAAACCCCCTCAGTATCACCAGTTGGAACACTGAAGGTATACAGGACGGACTCCACTTCCTACGACATTACTATGTTTTCTGACCAGGAAAAAGATTCTCCCACTCATGTTTTGCTCCTCTCCACTTGAGGACACAGTTCAGGTTCCCTGCCAGTCTACTAACCCAGGTCTGGCTTCTGAAGCAGGCAAGGCTGCCATTCTACTCCCCAGCAAGACCAGACAGATTATGGCCACTAAGATTCTCCCTTCTGTCCCTCCCAGTCTCTTTGCCAGGGGGTAGGTAAACATGCAGCAAGCATTTGTTCTCACATATGAGATCTCTTTATGCCACTCTAAATGGTGCCCATTTCTAGTCCAGTTCCACTATGTTCTCTCCCCTCCTCTCTTCCTTGCATTCCCTGCTCAGTCCTCAGCATCTGAGGATACCAGACCCCAGCATCTATCAGGCATCGTAGGAGACTATCCATTTTTGTCAGAAGTGGCTCTATTTCTGGATTTAGAGGCACTCATTGGCAGCATGGCTATAGGCAAGCTTGCATCAACATCACTGAGGGAACACTGTTGCTAAAGCAGTATTCAGCAAGTAGGAAGACACTGCAATAAGAGCTTGTCTAATTGAGACAAGGATGCAAGACATAGAAACATCTCACAGACCACTCACTAATGTCTACCTGTAGTATTAGGGTCCATCGCAAGAAGCTTCAATTCTGCCACATGTTGGGCTGTGCTAACTATCCTTAGAGAGTGGCTGCCATTTTGCATGCATCGCTCACTGTATACTTCCTAGAAATCCCAGATACAAGCAAGAAGCATGAAGCATCAGCAGCTTGCTTATGTCACCACTCAAGAAAGATAAGCACAGGGGAGGAGAAAACTTAAGATAGTGCCACTGCCACATGTCTGGTACCCCAGTGCTTCAGACTTACTTTAATGCCATTAGCTTTGATACTTTGCACCTCAGACATCTTCCGTATGTGGCTCATGAGTACCATCTCAGAAAGTTCATTCTCTGGTAAGAAGTACTGGTAGACATCATAATGCAGCCGCCATCTGGAGTTCTGACCAGTCCCTGAATCGCAGGGTGGTGGGTTTGCTCCTCTACAATTAAAAAGAGATCAGCTACATGCCCAGCACAAGCCCCCAGATCTTAACATTAATTTTCAGAAGTTTTCTGTCTGATTTGGCAGTATTCGGCTTCTACTGACATTAACATTGGCAACTAATTCAAGACTAAGTGCTTGTGAGCACAGACTACAGCAGTATTATGCAGAACCACGCTGATGCGGGTAGTGTCTATGCTGGTACCTGCCTTTACATTTACAGAGGCTTTCTATGAGTTATCATAAGAAACTAGCACAAGAATTCCAAGAGGTCACAACAGCAAAGATCACAGCATCAGTTTGTTTTCCACGCATGCTATATATACAGCTCTGAACATAGCCTTGCCCATTCCCTGCCTATCACCTGTGACACCAGGCACCATTCAGGAAATAATGCTTATAACTTTAAGTCTCAATGTGACAAAACTGTAGGTCATTATCATGCTTCAGTACCAGTAAAGGAATGAAACTAGCTATAATACACAATTGCTCCTCAGATTAAGTCAGTATGAGGCATGCAAAGATCCAGTATTTCCTGACTGCTTGCACATCTGAAGTTGCATAACCTCTCCCACAAGATGCAACTCTCAACTTATCTTTCTCTCTCATGTATTGCCTCTCCCTCTCCTCCTTTTCCTCATTTACTTCTCAGTTTGTTGCAGCAAACAAGATTTCTGCCAGCAGCTGGATGGTCAGCCTTTTCAGCAGAATCTTGCTTCATGATCTTGGCCAAATACAGGACAAAGGTAGTCTTGCTCAGTGCACTGAAGTTTTTCACACACCTGGCATATCCCAAGTTTGCAGGGGCAAATTTGATATGTATATCCACCACTGTATAGTCTAGGTAAATATTCGGATCCACTTCCAAGTCAAATTCTAGATTGCAGCCTCCAGGAATAGGATCTAGAACACAGAAAAGATAACTGTAGCAGTTTTTACCTCTCCCTTATACAGCATGAAAACAGTTCCAAGACCTCAGCAACACATGTACTTGCAGCTACAGTCTGCTTGCTGAGCACATAAAATTGGCAGGTTCTAGTCCTGCAGACAACACAAGTGGCTTCATGGCAGTCTGAGATAGGATCCGATACATATGCACAGTAGTTTCCTACTCTAAGGCTAGAGTCGTGACAAGACCATACAGTACATCCTATACATGACTCGTAACTCAACAGTGATACTAAACTTCTTCAGCCCATTTCAAAGAATTTCTGGCATCTCCATCATACATTTGCACCATGTAAGAATATCACCTCTGAAAGGTCAACACTTCATTTCATAGTTAACATCTAAGAAGTAGAGCTAGTATCCCTGAAGTAATAAGAACATACCTTTCTCCATATAGGGAATAGAGATAGCTGTGCTAAGCACCTGGCTAGCATCCAGTGACCAAAGGTACCATGTACATATGGTCTGTTGAGGCCGAAGGATGGAAACCAGTCCTTTGTCTACTCCAGTTCCTGAGCTGTTCACAGATGGATTCTGGACAAAAACAAATTATATAAACAAGCAGTTCTTATTGAGGAGATTTCTACTGCAGCTTGATGTATTGCATGAGTCACATTCCTGCCACAAACCTGTAGGACAGACATTTCAGTGCCAGTTGCCACAGATGAGGTACTCAGCCCTTAGCTAGCTGGTAAAAAAGGAAGATGGCAAAAAGGAGCCGGGAAAAAGGCAGTGGCCTCTCACAGTACACACTGCCTAGCTCAGGCTCAAAAACCCAAGTAATAAGTTTGAGATTACTAAACAGTTAATCACAAACTAGTTGCAAAGAAATCTAGCTAGCTGAAGTCTACTGCTGCACAGCAATGGATTGACTAGTAAAGTTGTAAAAGGATTGCAATATCTCTCACAAAAAGAGCATTCTAGGAACCAAAGTGCAGAAGCACCTCACTATCTCTGCCAGAATGGAGATGACTGTGTAACAGTTGGCTTAAACACTAGTCATGCCAGAAAAAAGTGTTTGGGGCCAGGTCAGCTACTGACTCAATCCCCACCATCACCATCCCTTTCAGAACCAGGGGTCTCAAGGAAAGATCAGCCAGCAATGGCAGTATCCCACTTATGTAGCTGGAACTATCAGTTAACCTGCAGTCAAATCCATTTTTCAGTGGGGAAAGCATGCTTTTGTCCAAGAAGGCCACAGTTATGTGATGCAACACTGTAAGGAAGCACTTTGGACCTGGCAGACTTTAAGGTCTGGCTCAACTTCTTATTTCTAGAGGCAGGCCAGCCCTAAAAGGGGTATAGCCATATTTATGTATTGCTGCCCTTGGCCTGATAAGGCCCATGAATGCAAAGAGGGTCTGAATTGACAACAGAAGATTCTACCAGTGGTAATCACAGACTGAATAGGTGTAACAGTAATGCCTTTACCCTGTAATCCTGGCTATTTCACCAGTACAAAGATGACTGAACTGGGTGACTTGTGTGATAGGTTATTCACCTCCTAAGCTTCCCAGGATACTGCTTGGCTCTCAGTATATTCTCATTTGGAAAATACTGATGGGGAGAGAAAAACTGGATGGTAGCTGTCAGATCTCCATCTACCACCTTCAGCTTAGTCTACGTTCTGCTCAAATACCACTTAAGAGCCTCACAGCACCATAAAAATCAGTATTTTAGATCGCATCCCAGTAATGACGGTATAAACTGAGGCTAGCGTATAGCAGTAGGAATGCTTGTGTTGTTGGCTAGAAGTAGTAGCCTTCACTGGAATACTATGGAGGAATTTTTCCATGTGCCACCAATTAGATTCAGGACAAACAGGCAGGGTAACAAGACATCAGATCTGTAGTGGCTAGATTCAAGCCACATAAACAGCAGACAACTAAACATCCCAAAGTAATCATGTTTAGCATATAAGATATCTGGCAAATACTTATCATGAATCTGTTTTTAATTTGACAAGCTGACAGATAGTAGTCAGTAGTCACATGTCATAAGCACCACTTCCACCAATTTTATTTTAGCTTCAGAAATCTTAAAAACCACGTAGGTAAGATATTCATATTATTTATACAGCTTCAGTTCTATATTCCTACATGTACCAGAGCCAACTCCTTTGTTGAAAGACAAGTAGCACTTAAGAACAGAAGTGACACTCTTACCATACCTTATCAAAGGATATCACCACATCACTTTGCTGGGCATGTACTTGAAAAATAATAACAGTCACATTGCTGGCAATGTTCCTGATTACAGCTTCCACTGGATTGGTCTGGTTAAGTAGCACATTTCTGAATTTTCCCAAGGAGAGCTCAAGAAGACCTGCATTACAAAAAAAGGAAAACTTTTTTGTCTAGAGGGAAGCATTTACCAAGGGAAGCCTGGAAGCTTCCAGTACCCCAATACTAGTCAGCTGGGAACAGAGCAAGATGTTGCTTTATGCTACTCTCACCTTATAAGCTGTATTAAGGTTTCAGAAACTACTATACATAGAGCTGTACCTGCAGGAACAGATACACCTAGAGAGCCCACCATGCAGCCTGGCACTCACCTACGTACATGGCACAGGACTTCCCGCCAGGAGCTGCATATTTGATTCACCTGAGCTCATCAGCAACAGACACTAGCTGCAGCTGAGCAGCCAGTGCAATCAACAGCAAGTAACATTCAGTAGAGTAAATAAGAGAAGATACTGAGGACTGCTTGCTCTTTGGCAAATACAGACCAGTATGCTTATATTAGCCAGACAGCTTGCACAATACCTGTTAGACTTCCTGGGTGAATTCCCAGACCATGGGAGTTGGAGTCAATTTCTATAACACTGATTCAAATCTGTAATTTACATATGTATACTTACCTACTTTCAGCTATTTCACATATGTCTTTTGATCCCATGCTATTCTTAACTATTAGGGCTGTTGGACCCCGATTTCTGTGTCTAAAAATCTGACTAGTTTTTCCAAGACACAACCAAGACTATTTCTTCTTACAATGAACATAACCCCATGATCCACTGTCACTTTAATTTAAAAAGAACTACATGACCTAGGATATAAGATTCTTTGAGAATTAGCTTTGGTTTGTCATTCAAGTCCTGCAAGAAAACCTGGTTTCTCCCTGTGCTGGGCTCTTGAGGGTCAGGGGGTGTCAAGGGAGGAGAAAGAAGCAGCTGTAATTCTCTTATTGTTGGTGGTTAGCAGGCAGGCTAGATGTTTGCAGAGCATGCATGATGCCTTTCAGATTTTTCCCTGAATTCCCCTACGTGCACACACAGTAGCCCAGCAGAGCTAAAACTTATCAAGCCTAAACACATACACAGTACTTCCTTGATAAAGTTGCCTCTTCTAATGTAAAGGCTTGATACTGTCAAGTACTCCAACAGAAACACAAAATAATCAACAGCACCATCCATATACACTGTTGCTGATGACTCAGGTGGTCTCCTATCCAAAAAAAGGAAGGTCTACAGTCTTCTCATCCAAAACTCTGTACCCAGTACTCTGTACTCTTCTCCTGCTATTTTTCCATTCTCCCCTGCCAAGAAGTGGCATTTTTGGCCAGCTTCTTTGCCTCTTGGTGATATATAAACAGAGGTGAGCTCCTACCCTCATGTCTCCTCCACTCACCTCACAGCTGAGAAAGACTTTTCCTCTGCTTTCTAACTTATCTCATCTTGCTAGCTTCAACCCTTACATGCTCACTCCCAAAATTAATACCAGCACTACATCACCAGTAAAACCCCAGCTGAAATATGGGGATTATAAACCATTTAGAAGGAAAAAAAGATTCACCATTTTCCTGTCCTATCATCTGCAGTTTGTGTTAAGGTAGAAAAAGTTTTCAAACAGTAATTAATGTAAAATTACAGCTACAAAAAGAGATTTGTGTATTCTTCAGTTTCTAATATAAAGTCCCTTGAGCAGCATTCAGATATCCTCCCCTTCACAAGGCCTCTTTCCTCCCTAGCTCTTAAGTTCTAACAGAAATGCAACTAGTAGTATGAATGCTAAAGAAAAATATTTTAAAAGCACAGACTATACATCTATGCACTCAAATTTGGAGCGAAAGCTTAGAATGCAGGAAAAAATATTTTTCTTTGATCTTTAAGAACTTCAGCACAGTTTCCTGAACCGCAAGATGCTCACACTTAGATGTTCTTTCAAGGAAAAAGTTGAAACCCAATACATCCTCTCTATGTTAAGGCAGAAAACCCTGCACTGCTCTGTCTTGTTTCTCATCTCCACTCTGTACTCATATCCAGAGGCCTCTGCATAAATAACAGATTCGTCAGCAAGACATGCAGCCACTACTTCAACACGATCACGAGACTCTAAATGTCAGAGGCACTCTCTCAAGTTTAATTAGCGTGGTAAATTAAGGTATGCGTTCTACATTGCTTTACTGTTTGCATAATTGCTTCTAAAAGAGTGCATGTGACATCATTTTAAACCCAAGTCTGGACAGGAGAGCATAGATTCAGGGTGAAGAACAAGAATGGCTACATCCATCAGACAAGTATTTTTCAGCTTCTTGTTCACAGGCTCCTTGAGACATACTTCTAGCCAGGCTTGAAAGATGACTAAAAGGAGAGTTCATAAGCACTGCAGAGCAGCAGAACCTTATAAGAAATTTGCTGGAAGAGCAATTGCTACATGGCCACAGACTACAGCACCTTTCCAGCCTTCTCTTTTTCTGTCATTTGGAAAAGTCACTGGTGGTGCTCTGAGGCAGAAAGGGAATATGGAGAGCAAGACAAACTAACCAATTCACAATTTATCAGGCCTATTGCTATCACAACTTCAGACAGGCATTAGACTATGCGAGCCATACAGAGTTCAGTGTTGTCAAACACGCTTTGAAGGACAGACACAGACACCACCTCCATGAACACATAGTACTAGCCACAGCATGCAAGTTTCTTTGGGCAAGCTTGATCCCACTGAAGGTAGCACACCAAACAGGACTGCA